GTTATCTCTGTAAGTTTAGAATCCTACGGGTTTTTTAATGCTCAGGAGCAAAATCTCATATTATCTTCTGGTTGTGGGCTAATTTTTGAGCTGTGGACGTTATCAATTTATCTTAGTGCTGTTTTTTCTAAAGGTGTTAATGAAGTGAGTTTAAAGAAGTGGTGTTTTGGAAACAGTTATTTAATTTACTCAAGCTGTTAACCTGTTCTCTGGATTGTTAACTACTGTCATACATGAATATTAGTGGTCATAAGACGTACTTTGCTGACTCCTCTCTTGCTTTCTGTCAACCGGTCCACTACAGTTTCTTTTCCTGACCTTTTCAGTAATGCATTCTGAGAGTGGCAAGTGTCTCATGATGTTTGGATGGGGGACAGGGGAAGAATGCCCTACCTTTGTTATTTCGGGAGATAGAAAAGGAAACAATATATTTAAAGTTTTAGGTGTACGTCATCATATTTCAATTTCTGTGTACACCATCTGAAGACTAATTACCATCCATGATAATACCATCTGTACACATGTGCCCTGTCACCTCTTTCACCCTCCTCCCTCCCTCTTTCCTCTCTAGTAACCACCAGTCTAATCTCTGTATCTCTGTGTTTGGTTGTCGTTGTTCTTGTCTTCTACGTATGAGTGAGATCATGCAGTATTTGACTTTCTCCGTCTAACTTATTTCACTTAGCATAATACCCTCAGGGTTCATCCATGTTGTTGCAGATGACAAGATTTCATTTTTTTTCATTGTTGTTGTTTAATTTTCTTGCTGGGGAAGATTCACCCTGAGCTAACATCTGTTGCCAGTCCTCTTTTTTTTTTTTTGCTTAAGGAAGATTAGCCATGAGCTAACGTCTGTGCCAATCTTCCTCTATTTTTTTTTGTACATGGGACACTCCCACAGTGTGGTTGGTGAGTGGAGTAGGTCCAAACCTGGGGTCCAAACCTGCTAACCCAGCCGCCAAACCGGATCGTGCAGAACTTTAACCACTCGGCCATGGGGGAGGTCCAAGATTTTATCCTTTTTATAGCTGAGTAGTATTCTTTATCCACGTCTTCTTTATCCATTCATCCCTTGATTGGCACTTAGGTTGTTTCCAAGTCTTGGCTATTGTGAATAATGCTGCAATGAATATAGGAGTGCATATATCTTTACACATTCGTGTTTTCATATTCTTTGGATAAATACCCAGCAGTGGAATAGCTGGATCATATGGTAGTTCTATTCTTAAGTTTTTGAGGAATCTCTATACTATTTTCCATAGTGGCTGCACCAGTTTACGTTGTATATGAGAGTTCCCTTTTCTCCACATCCTCTCCAACACTTGTTATTTCTTGTCTTATTAATTATAGCCATTTGGACTGGCATGAGGTGATATCTCATTGTAGTTTTGATTTGCATTTCCCTAATAATTAGTGATTTTGAACATCTTTTCATGTGCCTGTTGCCCATCTAGATATCTTCTTTGGAAAAATGGCTGTTCAGATCTTTTGCCCATTTTTCAACTGAGTTGTTTGTTTGTTGTTGAGATATATGAGTTCTTTATATGTTTTGGATATTAACCCCTAATCAGATATGTAGTTCACAAATACCTTCTCCCAATTGTTAGGTTGTCTTTCCATTTTGTTGATGGTTTCCTTTGCTGTTCAGAAGCTTTTTAGTTTGATGTAGTCCCATTTATATTTTTCTTTCGCTTCCTTCGCCTGGTCAGACATGGTATTTGAAATTATACTGCTAAGACTGACGTTGAAGAGTGTACTACCTATGCTTTTTTCTAGAAGTTTTATCGTTTCTGGTCTTACGTTCAAGTCTTTAATCTGTTTTGAGTTAATTTTTGTGTATGGTGTAAGATAATGGTCTACTTTCTTTCTTTTCCATGTAGTTGTCCAGTTTTCCCAACACCATTTATTGAAGAGACTTTCCTTTCTCCATTGTATGTTCTTGACTACCTTGTTGGAAATTAGCTGTCCATAGATGTGTGGTTTTATTTCTGGGCTCTCGATTCTATTCCATTGATCTGTGTGTCTTGTTTTATGCCAATACCATGATGTTTTGATTACTATAGCTTTGTAGTATATCTTGAAATCAGGGAATGTGATGCCTCCAGTTTTGTTCTTTTTTCTCAGGATTCCTTTGGCTATTCAGGGTCTTTTGTTGTTTAGGATTCTTTGTTCTATTTCTGTGAAAAATGTCCTTGGAGCTTTGATAGGGATTGCATTGAATTTGTAGATTGCTTTAGGAAGTATGGCTATTTTAACTATGTTAATTCTTCCAGTCCACGACCACAGACTATCTTAAAAGGAAACAATATTTGTAGGAGATTATACATGCTGGTAGAGTAGGGAAGACTTTGAGAGATACAAGGAGAAACAGAGCAGAAGAAAGAGAAAATCTAAGAGTTGAGGAGAAAATAGATGGCAAAAAAGTAATAAGGAAAGAGAATGTAATTTTATGATCACCTGATCACCTACCATGTGCTCTGTAGTGTTATATACTTTATTCATGTTGTCTCTGCCATACAATGACTATGGAAAGCAGATGTTGTTAATCTCATTTTATAGACAAGGTGACAGTCTCTGAGTCGTTCAGCTAGTCACTGGCAGAAGAATTTTTCAAACCTGGTTCTAAAGTGGGACTCTTCTAATTTGACTTAGCAAATAGTTTTGTACATGAGATGAAACAGATACAGAGTCATTAGAGCATAATGGTTAAGAGTATATATAGACTCTAGAGCCAATCGGCCAGTGTTCAAATCCTGACTCTATCAAGGCTCTAACACCTACTGGCTTTGCTATCTTGGCCAGTTGCTTGATCTCTCTGTGTGCCTCATTCTCCTCATCTGAAAATCAGGGTAGTTATGGTGCCTTCCTCTTAAAATTGTTGTGAAGTAATTTAGTTAATATATATTATAATGCATAGAACAGTTCCTGGCATATAAAGCACTATGTAAGCGTTTGTTGCTATTGTTGTTGTTGTTGTTGTTATTATTATTATTATTAGTTTGTGTGTGTGTCTCCTGTGAAAGGTCCCGTCTCTGTGAACTATGAGGAAGATGTTGTCAGAACTGTTGCCAGAGCTGTTTCATTGGCCTAACTTGGTCAGACTTATTTCAAGTTTCACCTCTTAGAATTCTGACTGTGTCATTATGTCCTTCATCCCTAACCAGGCCCAACCCACAAAATACACACACACACACACATACACACACGCACACACAGCCTTACCTTCCTCTTTTCCCTTTCTAGAATTAAGAGCCAGTCAGACTTTCTCTTTAGTATTATTGTACAACAGGGAAGAATAAAAGATTCACTGTAAATAATGCATGAATAAAGATCTAGTAGCGTAAGTTAAAACTTGTAATTCAAAGCAGAAAATTTAGAAAGAGCTCCCATTTTGCATTTTCTTTTTCCAAAATAGGGTGCTTCCCAGCCTCCCTGCAATTAGGTCTATAGGATTTAAGTAGATTGTTAAATGATAATAAAGAGCTTTAAACATTACTGATGATTCTTTGTTTCTATTGTGATATAGCTTAGTTACCTTAAATTAGCTTACTTTTCCTAGGAAATTAGAACTTCTTTTTAAAAGTCATTAACCCCTCTAACTTGCTGAAGATCACTTACTAGATTGAGGAGAAAATATAAATAGAGAAAGAGCTGTAACTGTTACTTTGCAGAGAGCCTGAAGAACTGTCTTTCTTGAAACTAATGAAAGAGTAAGAACCGGCCCTTTTAAAAATTTCTGTTTGGAGGTATGAGGGTGAAGATTTTTCTCTTTTTTTTTTTTTCTTCTTCTTCTCCCCAAAGCCCCTCAGTACATAGTTGTATATTCTGGTTGTGAGTGCCTCTAGTTGTGGCGTGTGGGACGCCGCCTCAGCATGGCCTGATGAGCAGTGCCATGTCCACACCCAGCATCCAAACCTGCAAAACTCTGGGCCACCGAAGCGGAGCGCAAACTTAACCACTTGGCCATGGGGCCAGCCCCAAGATTTTTCTTAAGTAATGGACTAACTCATCAATTTTGGCTATGTTAACTTAATTCGTTTAAATTGATTCTTTGTTCAGAATTCACCAAGGAAGTCTTAATAATTCAATGAAGTATTATAATACAAATTTTTAATGTTTTTTCACCACATTCAAGAGCTATATTTGTATATTATTTATGTATGCTGTAATGTAATCTATTTTATTAGTGCCCATGAACATTGTTCTAAATATTAATTTATTATAATATATTGCCCGTAGTTTTCTTTCTTTCTTTTTTAACAATGCCATTTAGTTCTTGTATGACAGCCACTTGTAATACTTAAAAATAATGTATTCCTGGAAAGTATTCCTGACCTTAGTTATAGTAGAAATTATAAAAATTCAATCTTCATAGCAAAAAAAGGTGACATATTAAGTTAAAGCCTTATTTTGTGTAGAATGATAATTCTTTGCGTAAGTAATAGGAAATGGCAAGATTTTTGCTGATGGCATTCATTTCCATTTTACTTATCAAATAAATTTTTGAGTCATTTGGATTTGGTTTAATCCTTTCATTCTCTGAGCTTCTTCTCTACCTGTGAAGGCAAAAATTGCTTTTTACCACTCCCCCTTACCACTGTCATCACCAGATAATATCACTGCATCCGAGCTATACAATTTGTATTTCAGTTGCTATCAACTCCACGAAGCAGTTTAAACTATGCGTTCCTGTTGTTATCAGAGCAAACGCTAAAGATTACGAGGTAGGTTAGAGACAGTGGGAAAACCCAGAAAGGAGGAGGAAGCCCTATCGATCCTGACAATTTGAGATTGTCACTTTTCAAACCAGCCATAGGTTTCTCTAGTTTCCTGAACTCATTGCCTCCCCCTATTAACTTTCTTCCCCCGGTCCTGTTTCTTTTCAGCAAGTCCCATTGTCCGAATTTGGAAGTATGGATGTGCTTGCAGCAGTTTTTGACCTTGATCTGACTGATCCTGTGAGGGTGTGTTAATCCTCTTTTCTCTTTCCTTGTTGGCAGGGGGCTTGTGTACGACAGCCGGCATAACCTGCAGTTGAGGGGCTTGGTGGTGCTACTTATTTCTAAAGCAGCTGGGCCGAGCAGCATGAAGGCTTCATGTCAGAACTATGACATGGTCAGTGGGATCTACTCGTGGTAAGAAGAAATTAGTCTTTTAATGTTGCTCGCTAAATTGTGTTTCCTTTTACTGAGCAGTGGTCACTGGAAATCATTGTTTAGTTCTTTGTCACTCCCTGATTCAAAGATAGATTAAAATATTTTGTAAGGTTAAAAAATGGATTTTTATTGTTCTTAATAAATCTGATCATCTTGGCTGCTCCGTGCATATCTCTGGTAAATCTCCCCATACGTTTATGTCAAATACTTTCATTTCTACCTTGGGCATTTACAATGTTCTTTTCATCACTAACCCTCCTCTCCCAACATGGTATCATTGTATCTCTGTAGGGTCCTCTCTGTCCCTTAGTCCAGGATTGATGATTTTTAAACCTACTCAAAATGATATACCTAGCTGTAAAAGAATGATGTAGCTACCATTTTAGGAGAAGTAGTCTACTTCAGTGCTGTATCAGTTACTTTATTTTCAGTATTTATATGGTGAAGAAGTTTTTACTGAAGTTTCTGGAATAAGAGATTTTTATATCTCACATTTAGATTAAAAAATAAATTTATGAGTGTGTATTAGTCATTTTTGCTACATGTGAAACAAACTTAAAATTTTCAGTTTTATTTTTTTAAAAAATCACTGCATATTTTTTAGTAACAATATAGCAGCAATAGCTTTATTTAATTTTAGCAGTGTGCTTGAGACTGTGGTAAAAGCCTGTGTGGAGGTAACAATCTGCAAGTAGACTTTGGCACGTCAAATTAAAGCTACCCTAAAACAAGGATGACGAGGAAATTTTCCTCACAAAAAGAAGCATTTCCAGGAACTTTGACTTATGGCTAATATAGCTTATTGATTTACTTAAAAAAATCAGTCCACATCGTAGATTTTTTTTTATTTCTGGAAGTCTTAACCATGAATGTTTTTTTCTTCTGTGATATTTAGAGATGACTATTGCTTGCCAGCTGTGAAGTCCAGTGACCCTTCCTCACTAATAAACAAGCTAAGATTATTACTGTTGTGTCTACAAATGGCCCCTCCTCCAGCCGCAATAATTTTGCAGACCTTCTACCATTTATCCGCACAAGTATCTTCAGTGGAAGAGATATCTTGGGGTCATTTTCAGTTCCTACTCAACTTTGAAATAATTTATATTTGTTTAGTGCTTTGTAGGTTACTGATCATTTTAATGACAGTTATCCCATGTGATCCTTACAATAATGGCATAGGTGAGAATTGTTATACTTATTTTATTCTTGAGAAAACTGAGATTCAAAAATCTTGAGATTCTTTCAAGGTGACACAGTTGGCAAATGAGAAAAGTTGAGGCTCTAAGTATAGTTCTCTTCCTTCCAAATCTCATGGGTTTTTTTCTTGATTCCATTCCACTTTCCTAGTCTGATTCAAAGAATTGACTTCACTTGTAGACTAGATAAGCCATTAAATTAATACACCAAAAAAGATCTTGTAAGTATATCTTTAAAAGCTTCTGACTGGGAAACAACCTGGCAAGCCTTTAATACTTCTACATCCTTCCCCCAGCCTGTTTGAATGTGAGCTCAGAACTTTACCTTATAAATTTTGTGGAAAATTCTTGGCTGAGTTTAGATGAAATAACTAGAGAAAATACATAAAGATCTCCAATGAATACCAATAACCTGTTAGTCCCTGGAAACGAAACAGACCTCACATCCCACTGTATCCCGTGCCTCTGTTTCTTGCTAGGGATTCTATTGGTTTTCAGTTGGCCGACTTTGACCCTGCTTCATTGTTCAGTCATCCTGGCTTGCATTTGGATAACCATACAGACCTCTAATGAACACTAGCTACGTTTTCTTATGTCTAATCCTAAAGTAACCCTTGGAAAGTACTATTTGACATGTGATAGGTGTTCAATAAATATTTACTGCATAAACGAATCATCCCCATTTTACAGAAAAAGAAACTGATACTGAGATCAATATTTGTCTAAAATCCTCTTGGTAGAAAGTGATAGAGTTTGGATTTAAATCCTGGTTTTCCTCTAAACTGTGTACCCTTTCTACACTGCAGGTGCCGCTGTTTGTATGTCCACAGTGCACTGTGATGTGGCCTCATGTTTCGAATTTCTTATCTAGCCTCTAAGAAACAGCTGCATCGCCTTCTGATCCTTCACGAGAACATAGTGCATTTGGTATATGGTCATTGTAATATGAGCAGTTGTAACAGAACTTTGCAAAAGAGTAGGTGGTACATTATGAATATAAAAATTTTTCTGAATAGCATAAATGGGTTCATACCCAAGTGTATAGAATCCACAATTACGTTTAGGGAATAATCCTGGTGTGTGGTTCTAGGCTATTTTCTGTAATCAGACTTGATCTAGTAAGTCAGTGTGATGCTTGGGTGTTTTACACAGTTCTTAATGTGAAAATATAATTTGGCATAGTATTATGAGAGGCCGTTAATTTGTTTCTCTATCACTGAAGTCATTTGTTTGGTTCCTGCTTCCTTAATTGTTCAAGCGTAACTTCTGCTGGAGGCTTGCATCTATGATGCTACAGTGAATTATTTAACATTTGAGGGAAGTACTGATTTAGGAACGTTAACATTCACCTCCAAACTACTGGGATTTACATTGTTGGTGGTTTTCTCTCATAAACTTGACTTTGATGTCAGATAATGGAACCTGAGTAAATTACCTAAGGGACCAAAAGTGAGTTAGGTGACCTCTTTTGTTTGGCCTAAGGATATAACTGATAGGTATGACTTGTGGCTGTGTCTAGTGAAATTATAACATAATGGCCAAGAGAGGTAGAATTTAGGCTAAAATGTAATAAGTACATTTTGAAAAGAGACTCACATTTATAAAAATGTACTATAAATGTCTACCATAGCATTTTTCCAACAAGACTATGGGCTTTAGGTTTATTCCACCAACTCTGACTTTTAAAAAATTGGTTACAGGGGGCCGGCCCGTGGCCGAGTGGTTGAGTTCGTGCGCTCCGCTGCGGCGGCCCAGGGTTTCACCGGTTCGGATCCTGGGCACGGACATGGTACCGCTCATCAGGCCATGCTGAGGTGGCGTCCCACATGCCGCAAATAGAAGGACCTGCAACTCAGATAAACAACTATGTACCGGGGCGGGGGGGGGAGGGGGGATTTGCAGAGATAAAGCAGAAAAAAAAAAAAAGATTGGCAACAGTTGTTAGCTCAGGTGCCAATCTTAAAAAAAAATTGGTTACCAACATGGTCAGGCAAAAAAGTATTACCAAATTTGCAAATATCCCTAGCCACAGCTTAGAAAATAAGTTCAGAAGTTCCTTTTCTATTAATGATAGGATATTGTTACTTTATGTACAAAATATAGATCATTGTAATATATTATACATAGTATTAAAAAATATAGACATCTAATATAACAAGATTATTAAGTTTAAAGAAATTCAGATGAATTTTTTTGACTAATGGTTCAGCTTTCTCAGTTGTGTTAGCAAGAATTGAATCAATTATTTCTCATCTAACAGTTATAAACAGACCACATATTTTTATTCTACCTTCATTCCCTGAAATTTCCCAACACCGCTTGTTAACTGTGTTAGAACAGATTGAAGCGAGTTTGCCAAACACATTTTCTTTTCTCTCCGAATATCCAGCTAGACTGTATTTCCCAGCCTCCCTTGTAGTTGGCTGGGCCGTGTGACTGAGATCTAGCCAATAGAATATGAGCAGAAGTGATAGTTTCTGTTTTCTGATCATAAAAATCTTACATTTGAATACTCCTAGAGCAAATGATCTTTCAAGTGACCTATTCAAGATGAGAGGTGCCTACATCCCTGAGTCACTCTTGGAGGAGAGCCACCTGCCCAGCGGGAATATCCATATAGACTTGATGTATGAGAGGAAAAAAATCTGTTTCTTAAACCGCTTGAACTTTAGGGTTTATCTGTTAACATTTTTTAATTATTTTATTTTAATTGATATATCTTTACTGTTTCTGTCACCTGGTTACCCTAGAGAATTTGGTCATCTTTGATTACTCTCACTCTTTTACTTTCCATACCCAACAAACCACCAACTCATTAGTTTCTCCAAGTCTCTTTTTCTTTCTTTCCATTCACTGCTTTCCTACTTCAGCCCTTTGTTACCTCTTGTCTAGACTTTAGCAATGGCTATCTATCTGGTCTCCCTGTCTCTAGATGTTCCTCCTTCAAATTTTACCATTAGGTCTTGTTAAATTGAGCACCCTACAGTCCTGCTTGGATCACTCATTAAGCAAATACTTATTAGGTACTTACTATGTGCCAGGCACTATCCTTGGTGCAGGAGATACAAGCTGAATAGTGCATAATACTTGCCCTCAGCAGCCTTATTAGCATCGAGCCAGGGAACACAGAAGTTTCCAAACAACTGTAATACAATGCTACAGATGCTGTAAGTAGAGTATTAACAGAGTTCTGTGGAGGAATTAAGTATATTGGGTGGAGAAAAGGAGAAAATTTCAGAAAAAGGGCCCATTTGAGCTTTACAAAATAAGGAAGTTATAAGTGAGTTTTGAAGGTCACTAGGAGGTCATCAGTTGGAGGAAAGCAGGTAGGCAAGGGGCTCAGGAAAAGGTGGTTGTGGGGGCCGGCCCCCTGGCCAAGTGGTTAAAGTTCTGTGTGCTCTGCTTCGGAGGCCTGGAGTTTGCGGGTTTGGATCCTGGGTGCAGACCTACTCCGCTCGTCAGCTATGCTGTGTACGCATCCCACATACAAAGTAGAGGAAGTTTGGCACAAATGTTAGCTCAGAGCAAATCTTCTTCAAGCACAAAAGGAGGAGGATTGGCAACAGATGTTAGCTCAGGGCGAATCTTCCTCACAAAATAAATAAATAAATAAAGGTGGTTGTATCCTAGGCAAAGTACGGAAGTAACTGGCTGACCAAAGACATGGGGTATGGAAGTGTATAGCAGGGCCCAGAACAGTGCTGGCACTGTAAGAGGCACTCAGGGCATAATTGTCATCTGAGTAGATGAATTTATAGAACAGAGACTAGTTTCATTATGTAT